CAACCAAATCATTCTGTGATTCTATGAATTTGCAGTAATAAAATATTACTACATTAATATTAATAAATATTAATCAATATACTTAATACAAATATTACTAAAATATTATTACAGCAATATCTACAACAAAAGAGACAAGAAAGTAACATGTGAATATCAGGCATATGGAACAGGCATCTGAGCCTTCAGTTATCAGTTAGGAGAAGGCAGAGAAAACACACTGAATGACACCACCTATTAAAGAAAAGCTGCATCTGTGGGTGTATTAAAAAATAACTGAAGCAAGTAGGACAGTCATGAGAAATAATGAATGTTAAACAGTCCTGAGTTTGCACAATCTGCCTGCTCCTACCTAATCCAAAAGCACAGTTATGAAATGACAAAATAAAGATAATGGCAAGCAATAAAGCTGGCAAAATCCTAGACGCTTGGACGTGGTTCATTGCACCTACCATAGCTTTACACCAAAGGCACTTCCAATCTTGCAGGCGTAAAACACTGCCACAAGTCTTGTCGCAGACCGCGCATTTGGCACTGACGGGCAGATTACCCTCTAACCACTGGTGAGGCATAGCTATCTGTGAAGAAGCAGTCATAAAAGTTAAATACTCAAAAATAGAAATTAGAGGCTTTTGTCTCTCAAATATAGGTGGATTTAAATTATTTCCCACAGCTCTACCCTTTCACCAAAGAAGCAGGTACGGCTGACCAGGATAAGTGACATTGATGCTCACAAGGCAACAGCTATGAATGTGAACTATGGTGGTGGTTCACACGCTAGGCAGAAAATGTGACAGCTGAGGAAGGGAGACACATCTCATTCAACTATTGGTTCTAGCAGCAACTGGTACTGTGGTAACAACTAACCACAAAACAATGGGGCAGTTAAATCTAGAGACTCTGTAATACAAGTAAGTACCCATTCACTTAATGTTGACATAAACCAATTAAAATAACTAAAATTCAGAAGAATAGACAGGACAGCAGAATATCTCTGTTGCTTTAGGTATCCCCCTCACCAAGGCTGGTAAGTCACAGCTCTATAAAGCAGTCCGTAAATGCAGTGCAAAGCTTTACTCAGTGCGCTCTTTGTCCCATTAATACCATGGGCAAATCAGGACACTCATAGGTATGCAACTTAGTACTAACCTTCCAGGAAGAAGTTTCATGCCAGTGGCACATACATAGTTGTGTTTGTAAAAATAAAACATCTATCACAATAAACTTCTGAAAAGCTTTTGTCATTTCTCCTGCTAATTTTAAAATTCTTGCTTTCATCAGTAAAAAAAAGCCCCACACATCAGTGAATTCCAAACAGGCCTCCTAGGGAACAGCTATCGGTAAGGAGGACACAAAATAGATTGCTAAGACAGCACGGTAACAGTATAAAATACCACCTTTGCTTAAGAGCAGTAGGAACTTCTGGGAGCAATTCTTCAGCTTCAGAGGTTCTCTGCATGTGGCCTTTAAAATCTTGTAACACAGCTGCAATCTAGTGCCCACAGATACTATGTCTTGTGAGATAGGAATATAATTTTTATTCTAAATACCACACTAATCTTTGAAAAGTGTTCAGGAATATAGTCACCTACCATTAACTTCAATGGGTCACATGGCAATATTTCTATGCTTAGCCATTTTTTTTTCCCCATAAAGAAGAAACAGCTTTGGAAAATACCGCAAATATGAATAGTACTTACACCATCTTCATCTTCAATTATGTCTTTTCCAATTGAGGCTAATGTAGTCCATTTGCAGTTATTTGTTGCTCGGACAGCACATCTTTTATGTGCTTTAAACTTACACACTGGAAAGCACACATAAACATGTACACTATGTTATTTGCTGTATTTCAGTGATACATATCTTTAAAAAAATTAAACACAGATATTCCATAAAACAATCCAGTACATGTCACTTAGTGTTGCACACATGACACAACCCAACTAAGAGAAAATTCAGTTCATAATGACTCCAGCTTTAACTCTCTGAACTAGGTTTAACTGCTTAGCTGTAGTCCACATTAAGTGTGTCCTCAAATTCCCATTTTTTCAGGTGCAATGCAAGGTACAAATACATCTCTAACTGTGTTTTTGCCTTTTCTGTTCCTCCAGTGACACAACTGGTTTAAATTTCCAAGAGGTGATGGGACAGTGTTTCACAGAAGTATTTTGCTTCAGGAGCTCTGTTTCTTTGCTTAAAGGATCCCTTTCAGGCACCATACTATGCCTGTTTTCCCAGAAGCTGAGAAAGTGAAGGGTTAGGTGATGATATATTTATTCAGGATACTGGTGGTTACAATATTTTCCAATAGATTACATTGTGAGGAAGAGCCTGACTTTTTACTGATTTATTTATTAAGAATCTACTAATTGGAATACTTAGCATAAGTGTGTAGTACAGGCAGACATTTGGACAATCTAACAACCATTAGTACTTTGTTCAACTCAATTAATATGACTAGTTAATGATATCATATTAGACCAAACAGACTGACGCTCCCAACTGTGGGTATTTCTGTTACTGGAAGTGCATGACATCATTCTCTTTAGAGTGCATTACAGAAATTATTTTGGCAAAGACCATTAAAGGTTTATGAGAACTAGCCAGCAGACCAGAAGTAGTAGTCTCTTTTCAAACAAATATTTGACAGGAAACTATGAAAAGCTTTGGCCCATTGCTTGTCCACCCTTAAAAAATATTAAGCCATGGTACAAAAGGTCTTGTGAATCATAAATTTCTCATTTTAATTCCACTAATCCATTGCCAGATCAATTTAAAAAGTGAATTGAGATTATGTAAGCAACATCTGAGTTTGAGAGCAATCCTCACTGTTCTGGGAGATGCACGAAAGTATGCGCTTAGCTCAATGAAAGAGAAGGAAACAGAAAAAGGAGGGTTGTTGCTTTTACAGTAACTTCCCTGGTCACTTTGAAAAGCAGCATTCATAGATCCAAAGTGTAAAAATATCCCATATTCCCCAACTAACAGGGTAGGCTCACATTTTCAAAACAGCTCAGCATCATATTGTGTGTTTGCCAACCTAAGCAGGTTCCAAGCATCTAAAGAAGTCAGCTCTCACAGAAGCACAGAAATAAAGGCTGCATTTTCAAGTGATGGCCCTGAGCACTTTTGCCACTTGGATGTTTTGGAGAAGATATACCACTGAATTCAGCTTCCTACTCATAAATGACATGCATTTGTCTTTGCCACACTGACCAAAATACAACAAATCTGGGATGAGAGGCAATAGGAAATTCCAAATTACAAAGGCATAACAAAGTAAGGGAATTTTCAAATCCTATTGAGCTATGATTCAACTAGATCTCAGGACCCTGTATTCAACCTCTGCTCTCTCAACAAGGCAAGGACAAATTCAAACCCAGGAGTTGCAGCAAGCCACACCACGGATGGCAAGTGACAGTTAATGTTTGCTTTGACGGTACAGTATATAACTTACCAAATCTCAGATTTGACTTTCTGTAGGTCACGCCCCTACAACCCTAATATCATCAAACAACAATTCATGTTACTCTGAGCATTTAACATTACCAAAACCAATGACCTTAAGACACAGATGTAACTTTCGAGCAAAATACATAGCAGTACAGAAGAGACGGGTATAGAAAGGAAAAATTTAAATCAAATCTCAAATTTCTTTTGTCTGAGATGACACTGCATCTCATTCATGAATCAGTCTGATATCTGAAATCATTTGGAAATATACAGACATTCTGCTAGACTTCAATTGCCATTATTTTGCCAATGAAAGTTAAAAGATAAGAAAGGCAAAAATTTAGCAAAACCAAATCTAGAATATTCTTAGAACGTTATTTTAAATTTTAATTGCCTGTGTAAATGTTTCTAGCTGGAATATGAAGCAGGTCTCAGAAAGCCAACCAAGAGAACCACTTAATTAGAAAACAGTTGTCACAGTCGTACCAACATCTGCTGTCTGGCACAGTGATTAAATCTAGAGCTATTATTGTCTATAATGAAGAAAAGTCAACATTACTCAATGTTATCATAGGGTCTCTTGCACTGAAAATACACACCTTTGTTATACAACACTTCTTTCTCAAAGGCCTTTCATTCTAACCACCCATCAATTAATTCAACTACACTGGCAGGACACTCAATTTTGTTTTCCCCAACCTTACCACTCTACCACCTATTTTATGATGAATTTTCTCTTCTGTGTTCCTCAAAGAAGAACTGGCTCAGACCGTTTCTTTTCCAACTTCAAAGGCCAAAGCCAAACTTTTTGAAACTGGTCTAAAGATCCTTGAGCTGGTATCTATAGTTTAAGTCATCAACATGGAAGGATTTGTCTTCAGGTATTCCAAGAAACCTGCTGTTCTGTTTCTAAGAATACTATCACATGATAGATGGACAAGTCACAGTGAAAACGGAGTGACTCACGTGAAAACAGCAACCTAACTTCACTCCAATTTGAAGCTACGTCTGTGTTATAAAGGATAAAATTCAGCAGCTTCTTGGTAGTTTTTACTATTTTCACCCAAATAAATAACTCTTAAGTTAATTTAACATTACAAACAGAGTGCTAAAAGAATACTCATATTACAAAGTCAAGTACTACAAAGTTACTCATGCAATTTAATTTTGCAATACAGCTTCCGTATGCAGGTGTAAAGCCTTCAGTTACATGATCACTAACTTTTTTAAGAATAGGACCTTTATTCACTGCATGCAATGGATGGTTCTTGATAGGTATGCAGCTGTGCCATACTCTTGTTCATAATAATTTTCAACAGGTATTTGCCTTATTTACCAAAAGCTAAAGAAATACTGCTTTTTAGACACCAATATGCATTTCTTCCTGGTCTTTTAAAATTACTATTATTATTATTATTATGATGCTCAGTACTATGACAATTAAGACTTTTTTTTTTTTCAATATTGTATATCTTCAAAGTATCAGTGAATTCAGAACAGCTTCAACTGATTTTTGCAGTTACAGAAAACTCAGCATTTCTGTGATACAGGTCCCAAATTATAAACAACACACAACCACTGATTTGATAAAAAAATCTTATTTAAGTGATTTCCCCAGGATTACAGAGGGCCACAGTGTGATACAAAGTCCCAGAACACAGTTTTCTATTATTCTTTCATTCTTTAACAATGAATGTCCCTTCTCTTCCTGACAGCTTCATTCACTATTCACCCTCCAGTCTGTACAGACAATGTGGCAAAAATCCTGGAGCCAACTACCCAAGTAGTGCACGTACAATACCCTGTGCAGTGGGTCAGAAGAACAGGGGTTTGTGGGGAAAAAAAAACAATCATAATGAAAAAAGACCAGGTGCACAAAGTGCATTTGCAGAGGCAATTTAATCCCAGTATTTTCTTATTGCTCGACTTCACGATTCTAAAGTGTTCTTTCAAGATTGTTAGTTTGTGCAATTCATCACAGGAGAAAGCATCTCATTTAAACTGCCATCTCCAGCTTATTAGGTATATTTGATATTCAACAATCAAGATTCAGTCATGATAATGAAAACACTATATGAAGAAATACATCTTTGAGAATAATCATAAATGCAGTGTACCACTGGCAATGACTTGAATAGAAATGTGGTATTAATACAGACTAACTGAGGCTAGAGAGCTTTGAAAGAGTTTCTGTAGGTAATGATCTATAGTTTTTTAGGTTTCTTTGCCTAAATATTCTATGTATCCCTGTATTTACCTGACAATTTCTTAGGCTTAGACTCCTAAGCATATAGCAAGTTAAACCCTGAATAAGAGAAAAATTTGAGGAGCATAAAGAACAAAAGCCTTACTTGATTCAGCTAGTTTGGACTAATTTCCAAAGTAAGGCAAAAAAATTATAATTTCTCTGTCCTAGTAAAGACTGTGGATGAATGTTGCAGACATCAGTCCTTTAGAGCTAGCTACAGCAACACAATACACAGAACCAGATCTGAAGAGTAGATTACCTTTTGAGAAGACACAAAAGAAGGAACTAGTGGGAGGAATAGCATTGCATCTCAAAGGACTGCATGATTAAATTTTTTAAAAGTCAATTATTTGTTGAGCAGTAGAAGGAGTGAAGCCTGGTTTGATATGAATTTATATCTTCAGTTTGATACACATACCAATTCTTCAACTTCTAAAAAGGCACAAGTTCACAGTACGTTTTTATCCCTAGCAAAGGTATTAACAAACTCTCTTCTCCTGCACTGGCTTCCATAAAACTTACAGGAGTATCTTCAGGGTGCCTTGAAATTAATTTAGTCAACCTTTGCCAAAGGCTACTGAAAGGGAAGGTGCCCTGTAAAAAGAAGGCACCCATCTTATCTCCAAAAGAAACGAGGCTTGTTGTGTGGTCAGGCTGAAAAAAACAGTTGTGTAGCGCTGTTGGAGATCAGCAGATCTAAGAGAACAAAATATTACAGGACTGATCTTCTTGTAAGCTGCAAAATATCAGCAATGGGATTTATTTGTATTTTTGCCTACAGTTAACAGTCAAGAATCAGACCACAATGAGTACAAAGGCTCTAAGCTACTTTCATGATAACTTGGTGTGCCAGTAACCCAAACCACTGAGAGGAGAAAGAGCTCCAATATCTCTTGAGAAGAAGCCTCTCATGCTTTAAAAATACAAGACATAATAGAGTAGCCTGGGATCAATGACCATACAAATAACTGAATTTAGTATAGATATAAATGGATTCCCAGCGTAAATCAGTGCTAGAGGTTTCAGATGCCAGGCATGAATATTTAAACAGTTTTTTTTAAAGATGTAATGAGAAAAAGTAGTGCAGAACATGCCTGGGGAATCTTAGACTCCATACTTCCTACATCATCTCCTCAAACAGTCTATACTGCCAACACAGGGTAAGTCAAAAAAATAGATGGTGAAATGCATTAGAAGTGCACATGGCAGAAGCAAGTAACTATGAACTCACTCACATAAGAATTTCAGAGAAAGAACTACTATCAAACCAAAATGCACTTCTTAGATGAAGAAATTAAGGATGGTTAACACAGGTTTTTACAGGTATACAGAATCAGGGACAAAGTTTGAGTATTCCAGTCAAAGAGCCCACTGTTAAATGATTTAGATTAGATGCATAATTAAAAGTTCTCCTTTTATTTTAAAAAATACCTAGAAAAAACCCAAAGAAAATAGATATAAACTAGTAGCTACAAAGTAAGAGAAGGTAAACTTATGAATAGATAAAAGAATATCATAGTATGTACATATAAAACAACCCAGGTCATACACGTTTACGAAACTGTGGATCAGTGAAAGCAAATCCAAACTACCTCCACAAGCCTTTCATAAAAACTGCTGAAAGAACAACTAGCATCAGAAATGTTGATAAATGTAGCATTAGTTTGTAAAAAGTTATGCAGAAAGTGACAAACTCCAAATCTGGAAATTAAGACGACTTCCTTAATGTAAAGTTAACACCAACACCTTGGAAATTAAAACCATACTTAGAAGCAAAATAAGACACTGAAAAAAAAGAAAGCAATGAACTACAACCATTAACATTGATAACCTTACAAGAATAATTCTTGCTAAACAGCCTTTTAAAATAGCTATAACATTAACTTATGAAAGGATAAATTCTTAATGAAAGGAAAGAAGTCTTTCCTTTCCTTTGTCTGAGCAAATATAACTGTATTTGTACACAGAGGTAAGACAACTGCATTTTAGTTAAGCGCGTGGTATTTCCATCTGCCAACATCAGACATTGAAAATACCGTAATTGCCTTAAAACTGTCCAAACGACTTATACGCAGTGGAGAACATACACCAGAGAAGCTGAAAGTAACTATGCTACTTCTAATTTCTATGAAACGGGTTCATCCCATTCCTCGGCAACTGCACTATTAGCTACATTAAAAGCACGGACAATTCAGGACAGTAGGTTAATGTTTCCTTTGTAAGATTTCCTTAACACACATTATTATGCTCAGACCTCAAGTATTATAACAGCATCAGTAACAGAAATGCATTTGCAGTTGGGTAACATGCATCCAAAAAAATCAAGTTTTGAATGGTGTGACTGTAACTTTTTCTGGACAGTTAGCTATTTTGGCAATTAATTATCTCTAAATTTCATATATATGATAAGGTCACATGGATGCTTTATTTTCTGCTGGATTCTAACACAAGCAGCCTTATTACCACTTTTTCATAGAACTTGCAGCAGAAAACAAATAAGCTGTTTCAGGTTTATTATAAATATTTGTTTGCAAAATATCATTTCTCCAGATAAGCTTAATGCTGAAGTCTTAGTCACACCTCCTTTTTCTTTGTGCTGAACTTCATCTGTTGAACCATCAAAACGCAAATGTATCCACATCTCTAACCCTTCACTGCATGAGAGAATTTTTAAAACAATAATCTGTCCTCATCCGTCCTGCTTGTACTGCAGGATCAGGCAGCAGCAACAGAGCAAACAAGAATTGGAAGGGGAAGAGGTCATACCAATGAACAAAGTCTTAAGAATTTTTATAGATTTGGGGCAGAAACTACCATTATGACTTTTTTCCTCAGGCTGATTCTGCAAACCAGACTATTTTGTTTCACATTTTTGACAGGCAAATCAAATGAATCCTATCTTTTCTTGCAAACTGTCCACCCAGCATATTCCAAACTGGTTGCTGCAGCAAAAGGAACCATTTTATTGAGATGAGTTAGAAAAAGGCACCTGGAGCATGAAGAAGGTGAGCCAGATCATTAGCAGTCCCGCTGCCTAGAAGAAAGTTACTCTAGTGAATAGATTTTTCCCTTCAGGCTTTTTCTTACTCATTATTTTCAGAATCATTACTCGTTTCAAACTTTCAGCCATTTGTCTACATACGCAGCACTATAAACAGGAGGAAGAAAGTGTTTATTTTACCTTCACAAGACAGGCCGTGAGAAGTGACTCCGGAGAGGCTCTCTCTACACACGTTACAGAAGGTAGGTCGGGCATGGGAGCAGGCGTACCAGTTATGCATCCCTGAGAAATGTTCCACATTAAACTGTGCGGTCTAGTAAAGGAGAAGTTAAGACAAATTTGCAAGTACAGAACACAGCTACGGTGACTGAAATTACTTATGGTTCCATATTACAGGGGACAACAATGCAATGTTCACCAAAAGTGTTTTCCAAAGGGTATTTAGCCTGCTCTCCCTCCAAACTTCTAAACGAAAGTGTGATAATAAGCTCTCATTTTGCTAGTAAAGGTCTTAACATGAAGCTTCACTTTGGCATTAGACATACTTTTCACACTAAGGAGGGTGAATACTTCAGTTCTGTGTCCCGTAGCTTGATCTGTTGAGCTAGAACAGGTTGCACCAAGAGGGATGTCAACTTACCTCATAGTGTTCTCTGGACTGAACGGACTTCAGAGAGCTTATCCAGTCCTCCATTTCTTTTCTGTTCTCAGCACACAATATTAGCCTCCTAAATGGAGTAATTATCTGAAAAAGATAACATATTCTGATTAATCCAGATAGTAAAAATCATCATAGACTATAATATTTAAAGTACTCTTTCTTGTGAGATGATGCAAAAGGAACACACACCCTAGATCACAAAATATTAAACACTTGAAAATATTTTCTTTAATACACTACCAACAACAAAGGAGTTTGCTCTTCCTTTTTCAGTTCCCAAGATTCAAATCAAGCTTCAGTATAGGTCTTTACAATCTATATTGATCACTCCTCTTTCTCAGCACTGTGTTTATGCACTCAGATTTAAATACTCAAATGGCAGGCACTGCAACTGCTAAAATAACCCTTCTGGAAATTACTAATTGACTAAGATTGCAATCCTATTTCATAACAGCATTGTAACAGCTGCAAGGTCCATTCCAATTGCTAGAGAGAAAAATGTATCAAAATCAAAAGCCTGGAAGTCTTAAACAACAACAAAAGCTTTCATCGTATTTCTCTATCTTGTATATTGATACTAAAGTTACATAAATTTAAAAATACACAAATTTAAAACAGAATGTTCTATTAAAAACTCAGCATAAGAACACATACAAATCTTTATAAAGAGACACAGAAAACAAAAGCAAACAGCTGAAAACATATCCTACTAGGATGGCTGAACAAATTCCTGAAACAAGTTGATGCCGGGGAGTTTTCAGTGGTCTGGAGTTGGATTCTAGAAATCTGAAAATGCTGTATCTAGGAGGTTCAGAGCATAAGCTGTTTTCCCCTCTCCCTCACCAGTACAAAAATAATTAAAATAACAGGAAGGCACTAGAAACTATCAGCTAACTCCCACTGAAATTATTTTCAGTACTGCACTAAAATAGACGAAGCGGTTACTTACATAGCAAAGAATTTAAAACAAAATAAGTGCATGAAATTAAAAGAAAGTTATTTGTTTTGTTCAAAGAAGTCTGAAAAATAAAATTAAATCCTTTATCAGTCTTATGCATAAATCTATTGCACAGTACGTACTACCCACACTTGGAAATTACTTAAGCAAAACAAAGGACCACCAATGATAGCTCTGAGTGTTGTTTTAAATGCTACAGGCTAGATATTGTAACATTTGCACAATATTAGAAAACACTTATCTACAGCCGCATTTACTTACCCAGTCTCTGCTGTAAATAGTCTCTAGCCTTGATTTGTCCTATCCACTTCTTCATTAAACTGAGCTGCACTTTAACATGTCTCAGAGGCAAGGTAAGTGACTTGCAGCTTGCTGCAAGTCACATGGAGGAGAGGCAAAACTCCTGTTGGCTTGCTTTCACCCCCTCCCTTTTTTTTTTATGTACTCACTTCACATGGAATGGAATAGTTTCTCTGTTTTCGATTTTCTTCAATCTTGCTTAAGCTTTTTAATAAGGTTTATTAGTAGCTCTCCGCAGCTCTTCCTAAAGAACAGTTAATGCAAAGAGCAATGCTTCTCTCATTAGCTTGGAGCCAAACAGACGCTTTATTACTTCAAAATGTTTTTCTAGGCCAGGTCATCAAATGAAGCCCAGAAAAGCCATTAAAACATAATATAACCCTGGCTCCAACAACAATCAGCATTCTGCTGGAATTTCCAGGTTTCAATGGACTCAGAAATCTTATTTGGGCAAATACACCCACCAGATTATTTCCCATTATATAGTATGAAATTATAATATGGGCTAAGTAAGGACAAGTTCACCCAAAACTCTGCACTTTGCATCCATGCTTCCCCCATGCTCATTACTGATCCTAACCTGTAAGCAGATGTTGTGAATGCCACTAAGCAACAACAGCTGCATTTATTGCTGAAGACTCCTGACAATCTTGATCTTTTCTAGTAATATTTATTTATATTACTCATGTCTTTAATACTACTGATTACAGAAATCCCCTGTGCGTGCCCCCACTCTCCCAAAATCAAGGCCAGTTCTTCACACATAGTTATCTAGTGCCAATGGAGATGCCCTTTGGTATCCGAAGCATCGGCACAGGGCAGGTAAATATGACAGAGGACCACAGCACTCAGAACAGCAGCTATAAGCAAACCAGGTGGGACACCAAAGGCCATCTCAAAAGGTACTACTCACCATTGTATTGGTAATCAAATCATGTCACCAAACATTGTTAACTAATGCATGTAAACATACCAGAAATTCCTATAACCCAACTTCTTATTAAATTCAGAGCATAATAGACTTAATAAAGTTCAGAGCATTTCAACAATCTAAAAGGTAGACTATATACCGATGATCACATGAATGTACGTTCAATTATTATTAGTGCTATAAGGTGGTAAGTTGGAGGACATACACATTTGTAAATACAGCATCTATAACATGATGATTAAACTACATTATTCTCTTTGATTTACATATTTTTAACAACAAACTTCAAGAAGATCTATGATAACATGAAAAAAGACAAAATGCATTATACGCAAAAAAAATCAACAATGCTTGGAATTTTTCTTAAAAAAAAAAAAAGAAAGAAAAAAAGAGAAACTAAGCAGTCCATTTAGGTGTTCATCTATTTCAGTCTAAAAATCATGGAGAAGATGTACTCTCATTATTTAGTAGATATTTCATGTAACATAAGAACTCAAGGAACCAAGGAAATGATTAGCAAACAACAAGTGTTTTTTTCCTAAATGTAACACATGATTTAGATTTTAAAAGTATTGCCAAATCATGTTGAGGAGACCAGAAGTATAAATGTCTAAAAAGGTATTTGACAAATTCATCACTAATAGATGCATCATATACTATAAAACAAAACATCCAAAACCTTCAAATTGGCAAGTCCTCAAAATCCAACGAGTGAACATTGGGAAGTTACACAAGAAGAAGTATTGCCAAATCATGTTGAGGAGACCAGAAGTATAAATGTCTAAAAAGGTATTTGACAAATTCATCACTAATAGATGCATCATATACTATAAAACAAAATATCCAAAACCTTCAAATTGGCAAGTCCTCAAAATCCAACAATGAGTGAACATTGGGAAGTTACATAAGAAGAAGAATCACTGCACATGTTCTGCTGCTTAGACTCCTTTCTTGAGTACCTGCTACTATTATTATACTACTTTGATTCAGTATGGTTTTATGAGCTTTAGACTAACTCAGTATAGCTGTTCTTGCTTGTCCTAAATGGAGAATGACTTCCTATACCTTCTTATTTGCATTTACACAGAGGGTATGCTTTCTTATGGATGCTTACAGAAAGCTATGATTAACTAACTTAAGTAGGATGTTTAGAGTGCATTCATTAAAGACAGTTGAACCTGTATGCAGACATAAGCAAAATTTAAATGGATTTAATTGCCCTTAAAACACTTTTCCAGCCATGTAAATTTGGATTTTACTAGTAATCTTATCTCATTGCATGTAGTCATATTCAAAGTCCTGTATCTTTTCTTCTATTACACATTACCTTTTTTTTAAGTTAATGCTCACTGCCCAAAATATTATTATTTATATATCACTGAATATGCTAAACTCTCAACAGACAAAAAGAAATTGTATAATGCAATGAGAAATGAAGTGTCACAAGAACCACTGGAAGATCACTGATGTAACATAAGAATGAGGAAACTCTTAAATTTTGGAGGAACTCAGGTGCTAATGGTTCACACGCTGACAAAGCAGGAGACAAATCAAGAAGGATGAAGACAGACAAAAGGCCTTAAAAATAAATAAATCAAGCAGATTTAATTTAGAAGATTAAGTTACTTTGAAAATTTTCACCGTTGTCAAGGAGCCAAGAAGTCATTGCTGATTTTGGAAGGGAGAGTTATCAAAGCCAGATAGCACAGTATATTGGAAAGTAATGAAACTGAGGTAGTGGGAATAAAACACTTTTAATGCAGCAGGTATAGGGATAGTGAGTATAAACAGTCTTAAAAGTTGAAGGCAAACAACACAAGTCCTAAAACATCATAGGGAATAAAGATTGTCTGGATAGGAAGAAAAATGACCCATTAGTGAGATAATGTTCCTGTTCTGTTCAGAAAAATAGGGGGCTTTTTGAGTGGGGAATGAAGGAGAGAACAAGAGGACATTGTTCAGTCTGCCACCACACAGGTCTTGCCATAAATTGGGATTTTCACACATGTTGACAGTAGGATAATTTGGCTTCTAAAAATATACACATATTCATATATATGTACATACACATCTGCAAATTGCTTCAATGAAAACTACACAGTCAAGTTTTAGGCCATTACTGCAACTTTTCTTTCAGACAGCACCTAATAGGAACAAGCTTAACATTGCCATTAAATTCAGGGTAAATTTGAAAGCACCTTTACCAATAATATTCTATATGCCTTCAACCTAATGGGTTTAGACTTACGATCCGTAAAACAAAATCATAGAGAGTTCAATTAAACCTATTGCCTAATTTTTAACATATTTTATTGTATCAGCAACTTATAAGAAAATACAGTTCCCAAAGCTTGGTGGCTACATTTCTGGTTTACTTTACCAATTCAAAGAAAAATGCAGACACTACATTTGCTGACCAAGAAAATAATGTTCTACATCTAAGCAGGAACACATCAGCTATTGTAATGCACCCCGCTTCCTGCAATATGATATTTGCATTAAGTCACCTTCTGCTGCTCTAAACTATTATCAGGCATTACACTAATAGCACTTTGTATGGCCAATCTTGAATTGACTTAGTAATGTAGAAACATCACTTAGAATCTGAAACGGGCAGGGAACCGGTTTTCCTATTCTTTGAACAGATATTTTAAAAATATCTTTCTGGAACTAACGAAGAGAGGGTGATACAGAGACAGCACCCCCACCTCTCCTTTTAGGGACCGCACCCAATGCCTGGGGCACGAACGTAAAGGATTTAATGCTTTGTAACTTCTCTGTGCTTCTAGACGTTGGTGAGTGAGTTCTGGCAAATACCCGGATAACATGTTAAGCCTCTCTTGCTTTCTGTCTGCCCTTCCATTTCCCTGTCCTCATGCATGTGGATCCATATGA